AAAAAATAAATAAAATTATTAATCAATAATTATGAACTGATTAATTAATTATTAATTAAGTAAATAATTAACAATAGAAATAAACAATATATAATATTAAAAAAAAACAATAAAAGCAATTTTATTATGCATCTGATAATGCTGCTACGATAGACCAAATTTTTTTTTTTAAAAAAAAATATTTAAACAACCTTTATTCCTTTAGGTAGATTTCTCCTCTACTTTTACCTCTACCTTATCCTTTACCTTCTAGTGTTACTGTTAGTATTAATATTAAATATATAAGGTATATAATAATAGCCGATCATTTGTATTATACAAATTGCCTAAAAAGGAGATTTTTTAAGGAAAAGGAAATTTTTTTATTACTCAGAGGTCCAAAATCCAGTTTACGCTAATAAATCACACTAACTTTTTTTTACTATAATACTGATTCTTCTTTATTATAGTATGTTAAAAAGGTTTTAATATGTAAGAAAAATATCACATATTTGATTAAATTGATTTGATTCTGCTGATTTATATTTCTAAATTATTAAATAAAGATTTTGAATCAAATTGCAAAAAATTATCCTATACTTGACAAAGTTATTTCCTTTTCTTAAAAATTCAAAATTTTCAACTACAATTTAATAATTCTGCTTTATCACAAGTTATATAATTCATTTTAAAATCCAGCACTTCTCAAGCTTTTTATCTACATGAACTGGCTTTTAGTCACTTGGATCATTCACATTAAATCAGTTTGAGCCAGTTTTAGGATTTGATAACATTTGACAATATTTGACAACCTGTATCATCTGTTTATGGGAGGCATTCATGAAATTCTTCCAGAATATTCATTGAATTTTTTTTTAATTCGTTGCTACTTTTAGTAATAGCTCTATAAATAAAACATTGAAGTTAAATAAACTAAACTTAAATATAATTGGGTAGATATCAATATAATTATAAAGAAAATATTAATATATTATGCGATAATTTGACCCAAAATAGCTAGCGTACCTGATATATAAATGATGTGGACACCTGAATGATAAAAATTGCAGATAGATCTAATATCTACTCTGTTTGATAGTTGATTAAATCTCTTATATTATCCAGTAAACATAATTAATACACACTTATTAAGATTGTGCAAAATTTTATGTATCGATATTTTTTTAATTGTACCTGATATTCAAGGTACATTTGAAATCAAAATAAATATGCATAAAAAAATAATTAAATAAAAGATTATAATATAATATATTTCATTTACAAAATTCTCATATAAAATACAGGTAATATTTTAAAGCGTATGTCATTATTATTATATTAAAATGTAAATGTTTGTCAAGTATGAAGTTATAAATTAATGGATTTTTATTTTTGTTGATATTTCAAAAGGATTTTCTTATAGAATTTAGACACAAAAATGTGAAATTTTTTATTCAAAATGACGTAAAGGTGCAATGTAAAATTATTCAAATTTTATAAAGTATTGGATATACATAGGTAGAATGATGTTCAATCAGGTATCCAACCCGATTGAACACTTTTTTAAAATTTAAAACTATATGTTCAATAATAATCAAACCAGTTATAATTACAGTCAGGTATCAATAAAGTTAAAACCCGATTGATTATTAATGTTTAATTTGAATTATCTGATTAGTTACTATTGAATCTTAATTACCGATTGGTTTATTTTTGAATAATAAATTAAATAAATATGATAAACTGCTTTAAAGAAACATGTAAAACACAATTGTTTATTTTAATTATTTGGTACTTATATGCTACAATTTTACGAAAAATAATACATATGCTATAAAAAATTATATTTAATGTCAGAACAAAGAAGGATAAATATTGAAACAATTGAAAGCTAACTATATATTTATAAGCTAAATTGTCTATTATTAGGTATAATTGCCATATATGTTTCTGGCTTTCTTTTACCTATTATAAATTTGCCTGGTATAAATTGACTATAAATGTTATGAATAAGAATAATACTATCTCTATCAATTTCATAACATTCATTTTTCTAAAGTTCAATATTACTACTATCATTATCATCATTGACTTTACAATAAAATCTCATTTGTTATTTAAGTGCTGGCCAATACCATTTTATGAAAGCTAAATAATGTATTCTTACACTGATTAGAAGTTCAATTGCATGTGTGAAAAAGAATTGAACTTGATCAGAGAATATATCTATTGATTCGTTGTCTTGTATAAATTTAGCCTAATATACGAATTTTTCAAATACCTTGGTGCTATTATTGCTCTAAAGATTTTAGCTTCAATCTGAATGTGTCTGTATTGATTCACATATAGTAATACAATAATAGAGTCTTTTGATACCAATTCATTAGAAGCTGCTTTAGTAATTGTCACAAACTTCCAATTGTATGCATTATTATAATATTGAACTAATATTTTATAAATATCATCTGATAGAGATATATTATTTTTTCTCAATATAATCATTTCTTTAGAGAATTGTTTATTACCGGTGATTGTATCATCGAGATTATGATAGAAGATTTGCATGAATCAGTATAATTCAGCAAAATCAAATCCATCATATGATGCTAAACTCTCAGTTGTTAGCTGAGATTTCACTAATTTGAGCACTTTAGTTAGCTTAGGATTATTCGATTGATTAGAAATTAGGTCGTCTAATCTTGAATTTTGTGTAATGATACGCAAAAGTTCTAGTTTAATACATCACTAACTATTTAAAAAAGAACCTAAAGAGAACAAAAAATTAGTAATTGAATATGAATTAAAGTATCGATAACAATTATTATAATTATTTACCTAATAATCCATTCATTCTTTCAAATAAATAATATCAGAAAGAATACAATAGTCTATAATTACGGTAACATTTAGCAATATGTAAAGACAAATGAATATTTGAAGTTATCATCTCCTGTCCATAATGTTTTTCAATTAAAAGAGCTACTTAAAGTAATTGATTGTGAGCTTCACTCAGTACATCATTATCAATAATTTGACAAGTAAGTAAAAAGCAAGCTCTCACAAAATGGCTAGAATCTTTTGATCAGAAGTACATAGAAGGTCTCACATTAATGGGTTGCATAAATAAGAATAAAAGACTTCCATTGATCTGTGGTATAATCAGAAAACCCTTCATCAGTAGTGATCTTGTAAGGAATTCTTCCTAAATCAGCTAGAACTTTGATAGATTTTGCTCTTTTTTTCATCAATTCAAGGTCTGATTTGGTGAGCTAATTGTTATCGATCCATAATCTTTTAACAATCCACTATGCAATTCCAAGGAAAAGACAATGCATTAGATTGACGATAAGATGTCTTATCAGGTTAAAATAGGGTAATCTTAATATTTCTGACCACCTAACAAGTGTTGTAGAAACATATTATTCCTTTCATTATTAGACTTACACCATCACTATTCTTCAACATTCTGTTAATATTCTTCAAGATCACATTCTTGAAACCAATCAGTTATGTCATTGAACCCACCAAAATTACTACTGATATTTGCTTTTTTATAGCATCTATAGTATGCGGACAATGTTGATATGTGACCACAAATCTTTCTTGCTGCTGGTATATCATTAGAACAGCATATTACTACTAATCGAACATTTTTTCTAGTAGGATGACCATATGTAGCTGACAGCATAATCCTATTTTAGAATTCTAATAGTTCATCAATGATCAGGAAGAGATAATGATTAATTCTATGCAGTTTGACTTCACTTAGTCCTAGTAGTAATCTTAGTATAATATATTCTCTTGTTTAAATCTGACTTCTCGAGAAAGATTACATATTGCTCTATAAATCATGCTGCTACTGTATACTAATAATTTGAATAGTTGAAATTAATCAAGATTAATAATAATTTCTAAATGAAGTTCGGCTGTTTCCAATGTGAAAAATCGAGAATCGCTTGTATCAAGTTGTGAAAGAAAATTTTTCTAAATTTCGCCATCATAAATATCTAACATCAAGCTGATCCTAATATCCTAATTTGTCCATTTTCTTAGAAGAGATTCAAAACCTAGACGCTGATACATTGCAATTATTTGTAATCTTAAATATGGTAAGAGAAAGACGATCTTTGGCCTTTTAATATAACTTTTTACTACTGGCACATGTTTGATCAACTTGGCTCTATATGCTGTCTCCTGCTATATCTCGAATGATTTAAAAATTTAATATGGGTGTATTTGAATTCAGAGCTCGACTGATCGGTCACATTTTTTGTTAAAATTTCTAAGATTTTATATAAAGCATTACATTTTGGACATACTGCGTATGTCTTTTCTTGTCTTTTGACTTATAACAATTTTCTTGTCATATGGGAACTTGTTGAAAAACTTTAAATTATGACCGATTAGTTTTTAATAAAACTATCCTAAAAAATCTAATAAGTGTATCAATAACAGTGTCTGAAAGATGGAATCTTGATTGATACTTGAATATTCATAACACTATTCATGAATTATCAAAATTAATGTTTGTATTAGAATATTTATATTCCAAATTAGAATCAAAATCGTTGAAATCAGGAGCAGTAAATTGCTCAAACAGAATATCATCACTGTCTTCACTCAAGGCACAATCATCTTTCTCTATAGAGGACGCTTCATCATTAATCAGAATTTCATAATCTTTCCTATCGTCTGATGGATCTAAAACAATTTTTGGATCATCATGATCAAGAATATTATATTTTGTCATATATCATTTTTATTTATTTGATATATCAATTAAATTTTAATCCGTTAGAATGATTGAAGTTAGTACATCATCACTAGATGTATCTTCATACGAACTGTGATTTTGTTCAACCAGTTTAATTACTTTTTTCTTTTTGAAGCTGATACTGTTTCAGTTATAACAGAATTATTTTTAATGCTTCTTGAGGTTGAAGAATAACGCTATCTGAAAGTAATGTATCGAAACCGTTCTATTTCTTGTTGATATCTGTCAAACATTTTAGAATCTACCTATCTACTACTATGACAATATAATGTACATTTGCATTCAACTAAATTCTAGTTTTAGTATCGGTATGAATAGCTTTTGAACGATCCTTATTAATACAATGTTTCTTTGATTTTGGCATTTTTTTGATAAAAAATTCAATTTAAGAAGAAATAAATATTTATAATATTTAGCTATTTCCAATCAGTATATATATATAGATTTTATTTGAATCAAGTATATAAATATCAGTAAAATACTTTATTTAAATCAATCAATATATGATATTGATAAAATATATTTGCATAAAAATACTTTATTTAAATCAATCAGTATATGATATTAATAAAATATCTTCATATAAAAATACTTTATTTAAATTACTAAGTATATGATATCAATAAAATATACTCACATGCGGCTAATGTTGATTTATTTTATGGTTGATTTTAAAGGCAAAATTTAATATATTAGGTTTGAATTTATTTTGGTTTTACTGCGCTTTTTATAAAATTATCATTTGCATGAAAAGCTTAAAGTTTATTTAAATCGCAAAATTTCATTATCTGTTAGAATGAAATTTGTGATAAAATAAAAGTCCAAATGTTACCAATCAGTCAAATAGATTTATCAACCTATTCTATCTATTACTATTATAAGAAAATTTATTTCAATGACTATTATTTTAACAATCGCAAACAAAATTTCCCGATTCAAAGAATTTTATTACAATGATTAATAGTATTTTTATCAAAATTTTATTGAAAGTTTGCTTTTAATGATTACTAGTATTTTACAACCAATATGTTTGATTCATTAAAAGTTTGCTTTCAATGATTACTAATACTTTTACAACTAAAATTTCTGATTTATTACTAATGTAAAGAAAGTTTATTCTAATTACTATGTTGTTCTGTGATTAAAAGTTTAATATCGATACTCCTTTGAAAATATATAAAAAGATCCTATGTTCTCTTTTTTTATTAAAGTTTCTTCCAAACAAAAGAAAAATCTTCTAAAATATGTTTAACAAAAAATTTAATAAACGTCTTTTATCTGATAAAAAGTCTTCTAATAGAGATAAACATAAAAGGATTTTATCAATTTTAGCAAATAAAAAAAAGGTGATTCTTTGAAAAAACCTATTCCAAAGAAACAATACAGAAGTGGCAAAAAACCATATGTTTAGTTATAAATTAATTATTTTAATATTTTCTCTTCATTTATTATCATTTACTTTTAGTTTCTTCTATTTTCTTCTATTCTAGTGATTCTGAAACTGATTCTAGGAAGTTTCAAAAGAAGAACTATATTGATCAAAATGAAAAAAAAAACAGTTTGATCAATGTAGTTCAAGGAAAAGGAAAAGATAAAGAGATAGGGAAAGAGAAAGAAGAAGAGAAAGAGAAAGAAAAATCAATCAGTATAATTGTTTATTGTATAATACATGTATTGTTAATTAGATTATAATACATATGGTCATTCCAATTATATTTTCAAATAATAGATATTTTACAGGCCCAAGTAGATGAAATTAAAAGTTTGATGATGATCATTGTAAGAGAAAAATAAAAGGAAATAAACCCAAAAGACACAATAATTGATTGGACGAATGATGAAGTAAATTTCTCCACATCAACTCCTCAATATAGGCAGCCTAGCTCTTTAAAAAACATGGCTGTAAAGTCTTATTCATCAAAGTCAGTTTATATCACAGATTCTGCCTCTGAACAATATGATGATAGAGGTAGAAGCTAGAAAAGAACATTTGATAATAGACCTTAATTAGAAAAATCACAAACACAAAAAAGATGACCTGAATTTAAAGAAATCTTTTCAATCAGAGTCAGAAAAAGATTGACTAAAACTCATTATCATCCTAATCATCTCATTCTCCTTCTCCTGCTCCTTCTTCTTATAATTATCTCTTTTATGATGAAATGGATAAGGAATTAAAGAATGCGTTAAGGGTAATCTTTTCTTTATTTTCATTTGTTTTATACTTATCAATTTTTTTTTGCTAATAGTTAATGTATTTTTGTGATTAAGTCTGAAATATTAGGGATTATAGACAGACTATCAGAAAGTCAAAAATTAGATGTAAATAAAATGTTTGAAAGCTAACATAAATTGGTCAACCAAAAAATCATTCTGATAATACAAAAATCGATCAACAAAAAAACGTTTCCTGTAGTACAGAGGGTGATCACAATTTTGTTATAATAAAAATTTACACCTAAAAGTGTATTCTTAGATGTAAAAAAAGGAGTGTAAAATTAT